GCAAATTGTTGCTTTGTTAACTAAGTGAACTTTTATGCAACCAAAGAAGGGTCATGTGATAATGTCAATTAGATTAAAAGAATTAAAAGGGAAACTTTAAATTGAGTAAAATGTTTTGAGGATTGCTCAAAACCACTGATTGATTAGAATTATTTTTGTAAGAAATGAGGTGACGTAGAAATTACTATTCTGTGAAGAACTTGTCAGTGAAAAAAGAAAATTATGCATTAATGATTTATTGAATTACGACATCAATGAATTGGAAGATTTCACCAGTAACATGATAATGGATCCAAAAGAAGGTACAGTACATGTATTATATCATCTTCATGTTTTTGGGTAATTCTAAGCAAGAGATAGATTCGATTTTGAACTACCATACGGCACAGGGTGGTTCAAAAAAGTAAACTGTTCCAACAGGCTATATTTCCTTTTCACATGTTGTAGAGGGAGATCTCAAATTTTTGTTGGTACCTTTCATTTTTCGAAGTTTTGAAAGGATAGGTATCGATATGGTGAACTGAATTTAACAATGTTTTTCTCTTAAACCAATTATTGAAAACATTCTCTAAACATGGTCCTTTATATAATGTTGACTGATTGACAACAATTTAATGCGAAAGTTATTTATATATATTTTATATAACTGTTTTTGTTAACATTTTTTGTTTTTTAGTACAATTGTGTTTTGTTCCTTTCTACCAATTCTTGGGAATGAAGTGAAATGTCTTTTCGAACCTTGTTAGAACAAAATAGCATATACAACATTTTTCTCAGACCTCTTACAGTTATACAAAGGAAATTTTGGTTGATTTAAGAAAAGTATTAAAATTAAAACAAAACCCCCCTAAAATAGATAGAAATTAAGATAACCTTTTATATCATTAACAAGATACTTTTCTTAAAATCAACCAAAATTTCCTTTGTACAATTTCAATATTGAGAGACCTAAACACATTGTGTTTATGTCGTTTTGTTCCAATGAGGTTCGGAAAGATTATAATTTCATTTCATTCTGAACATATGATACCAAGGACAAAAGAAGTGTCTGGTGTGTTTTCTAAAACAATATAGGGAAAAGTATATATATTTTTTCAAATTATATTGTTACCATTCAAAAGTTGACCATTAAATTGACGATGTGTAAAATTTCTAGAATTTTTTTATGGTTTAAGAGAAACGTGTGTTCAAAAAGTTCACCATATCGATACCAATCTTTGCAGAAATTATAAGCCCTCACGTAACATCACTGAAAATCGATAAAATGTGAACTTCAAAATTTGCAATTCTTCAACCCTTCAACAATCTTCCCGTGGAAATCATTTTAGCCGCAGTCTGAAAAACCTAATGTTTTCTGACTTTGTTTGGTTTTTAATCCCCCACATTATGGTGTAAAAATTAGCATCCTGCCTCTGATCATTGTTATTGTGATCCAAAGAAATGGTCTAAGTTTCCAAAAACATCTTCCAGTGAAATCGCAACATACCCCTATATGGTCTTAAAATGTCAATATTTTCATTAATCATTTCTAATGAAATAATGGCTCAAAACACTGAATATTAGATTTTTGTAATGAAGATATTTATATGAAAGCTTCTCAGATTTTGGGTCATAGGGGGTAACTTTGCCCCCTCTAACTGTGTAGGTTACATGCCCCTTTACTGTTGAATGGTTAAAACTGCTTCAAAATGGTCAATGAAAGTGTGAAATGTGTTTTCGGCCTAAATAATGTCCCATTTGTCATATGGTATGGTTTAAACTTATATCCCTCACTGTAAGCTTTTTTAAGATCATCAAATGTGTTTCATAGAGGTGTCACGGTTTCGCCGATATTGGACTGAATTTCGGTCCAGATGCTTCGGTTCGGGACACGGAACAGAAAGGGTTAATATCGATTCGGTTTCTGTACACAAATTCCTTCCCTAAAATGCATAAAAATAGTGAGGAACACCTCCGATTTCATTCTGAAAAATTAAATATTTTCACTTACCTCGTACCTAGATTACACTTCTTTGCATTGAAAAGTGTTATTAACGGACCCATGATTTCAGGTAGATGGTAATGTTTGTTCACAAATTTCTTCATCGTAAATCGCAAATCGAGTGCATTATCAGTATGCTGGATGTCGGAAAGAAATTGAAAAATTGAGCCTGCATCTAAGTAGAAAAAGTCGGCAGTTTGGAAGTACTTTGGGACTCCGATATCACAAAGTAAACGAATTGGTGATAGTACACCGTGCAGACTATGTGAAATGCCGATCACATTTGAGGCAGATGCTTTATATTCGATTAAATTGACGTTTTTCATTTCTGAATATGATTTTGAAAAGTGAAACTGTCATCATCAGACATTGCATCATTTTTAATGTTCTGTCCCATCCTTAAAGTACCGTGTCCCGAGACCATTTGTACCATTCCGTACTGTACCTAAATTATTTTGGACAGGTTTCCATGAATCACATTGGTAGAATTTTGCACAATATCTAATTTTAGTCATGTTTGTTTTAAGTCTTGTAATTTCTTCGAAATTCAAGACTGAGAATAAATTATGGCATCAGCAAAAATGTTAGACCTTTCCCTTCAAGATGTGATAATATGAGCCAATTCATGCATGACATTAAGGAAAATATAGCCTGTTGCAGGGGTTCACTTTTTGGACCACCCTGTACATGCATTTGAAAAGGTAGATTCAACACAGGCTCTTTTGTGCTGGATGAATTGTTGGTACCTCCTCAATTGAAAAACTCCATTCTGACTAATGAAACGACAGTAAGTAGTTTTGGAAAAACAAAGTCCCGAGTATACTAAATGATAAAAACATCTATCAGAAAACATGTTTTATTTACAAGTACATACTCCTAATGATTTCACTCAGAAATGTGAAGGTCCAGTTTATGATCATTCCTTGCTAATTCTGTTCTAAAAAATGTTCTCAATTTTCTATTTTGCAATTGAAATCACTAGCAGTACCATCTGGATATTTTTATATTGCCTGTCTGGTAAAAGCATTATAAGGTTTATAATTCCATGAAGATTCATTCTAATGATTTAATGCTTCCCTCTTCCCTCACTGAAATAAAGGATGAATCTCAATTATAACAACCCACTTCCTGTAAAATACAACAATATTCAGCACGCATTTGATGCCTTGTGATATGATTATCTCATTCCTTTAGAGAATCATTAAAAACTAATACCTTTGATATTTATTCTCTGCTAATATCAGTGGCATCAGAAATTATAGCAGTCTCCTTACAAGAACATTCATTTAAAAAGCACATATTTTAAGTATTTATAAAAACTATTTCATCAATACCTGTTGCATAATTCAGTACCTTTTTTGCAGAGTTGTATTGCCCTCACCTCAAATATACAGGTATTACCCTTGCCTTAAATGTACATGTATTACCCTCAACTCAAATGTACAAGTATTGCCCTCACCTCAAATATACAGGTATTACCCTCAACTCAAATATACAGGTATTACCCTCAACTCAAATGTACAAGTATTGCCCTCACCTCAAATATATACAGGTATTACCCTCAACTCAAATGTACAAGTATTGCCCTCACCTCAAATATACAGGTATTACCCTCAACTCAAATGTACAAGTATGGCTTTCTATAGAATGAAATATTGAGTCTGGTTTTGTTTAATGCCATTGGAAATAGATGCATAATCATATTTATTACCTGTTTTGGTCACAATTTCCAAGTCAACGTGTCACCTTTTTGCGGTAGGGTGGAGGACATAGTTAATCAAGAGGGTAGCATGTAATAATTTGATTTTGAAAAGGGTGTTACACATAGTGTCTCTGATGCTTGAGAGAACAGTACCCTAAATGTGATCATTATGAAATATTTTGATTGGGATTGTTATTCCATTACAGAAATTGTTAGTGTTCATGTTAGATTATATTTAGAGTAGATTGACATCTAAGAAGTATATAATCCTGAATAAATACTGACAGTATCCTGATCAAGGTTCCGGATATTTATTTGTAAAGTTAGATCAAATAAAATATACTAATTAAGCAGTAACATTGGTTATTTAGTATATTTAAAGGGAAGCAAAAGTTACGAAGAACAAATTCTCATCTCACGAGGAGGAATTATGTACATGTACTTGTGTGGTATATTGGAACAACTCAGAAATATATGTCACAATAAGTGTAGCTCTGAATTGTGAAAATATGATTTGCACGCCTACCTGAGAAAAAATTCTGGCGAGAACACTGAAAAGTAATATCACATTTTTAATAGAACTAAATATGAAGGTGTAGAATTGTGGTTCCAATAGGGACTAGTTCTCTCCCTTCATTGTGTTTTCATGCCTGATTGATTATTAAGGTGTATGGAGAAGTTAGAATTAGGTCCCTGGAAAAACAAATTCAGAGGACCTTAAGTCATAATAGCACACATTCACATGATGCTTAACTAATATCATAGTTAGATTTCAGCTCAGTGTATTCAAACTTTTGCATTTGTTAAACACTTCACAGTTGAGCCAGATAAAATGAAAGACTTCGGAAGTATAATTTCCCAAGGGATGAAATGATGATTTTCTATTTCTGTAAAGAGTATCATTTCCATCCATGAGTAGATATTGATATCTTTGTGAAGGAGAAGATAAAAGATGTTCTTTCATAAAATTGCAGCCTTCCCCAGGGTCTTCTAATGGCTGCCATAGATTTATTGTTCTCACCTATCCCTGTGTAAAATCTCTCGAGGGTCAAGATTTACAATGTGAAATCTAAGCTTGTATTCGCGAATGCAACTAACGGCTGTTGGCTACCGGATAAACCTACTATTTTATGGGCAACTCATTTAAATATTTCATTCATATTTAAATGAGTTGATTATAAAATAGTAGGTTAATCTGGAAGCCGACAGCTGTTAGTTGCATTCAAGAATAGAAGCTAACAGACTCAGTAGAATAATGCTAGAAATAATGAAAAACAGACTTGATGTACAATTACATTTTCTTCTTGTATATTCCAGGAATTGATACCAGGATGAAATTTAGTGTTCAGCCTTTACCTGGAGAGAGTGCTTGGAAACAATGGTTAGATGCAATGAAAGCTGTGGCCAGGCTACCCTTAGGGATGCCCAAGGAGTTCAGGAAAAAAGTATGTATTATTCAGATATAATCAAGAATTCTATCCAGACAGATACTCCAAAGGGTAACTCGAGAGAACTTGGATCTGTTTTGGTAATAACCAAAAGTTAAAACTATCAGTTCCAAGTATAGCAAAGTACAATAAACCGATGTCTCGGTCGCCACACTCATTAGTGCATCATAGGAGTTTCTGATCCAGATATATTTCTACACCTTTCCCCACGCAAACAAACATCTATTCTTTTATAACATTATATGAATATAAAACATTTTTCTCTGACTACGAAGACCTGTGACAGAAAGCCTTTTGATTTTGACTCGGATATCGCTGTCTATTTTCAAAATGGCAGCCTGCATGGAACGGTCAGAAGTCAATATTTCCATTGATATTGATGCATATGTGTTGATTAACCTACTAATATATGTTCGATAAATACATGAAGAAAACATTGAGGTATGTTCCCAAAATAAGTCCGGATCCTTAAAGGTTAACATTCTAAAATCCCCAGGGACTTCATAATTGGAAACATCTCGTACAGGAGAATTTGGGAGACATACTGTGCGTTTTTAGAGCAAATACGGTATTTGTTTTCTATTTCATGAACTCTTATAGTACTGTTCATTTACTGTCTCAGATTGTGTTTTATTTTTACTCAACATTTTATCAAAATGTTATCATGAAAGATCATGGGATTCAATGAGTTCTTTTTTGGAACATTTCTAGTTGCAAAATGAAAGATTTGATAAAATAAGAATGTCAAATTGTTTATTTTGGGGTTGGGAATTCAAATTAAAAGGTTGAACTCAGTATATGCCTGCACATGTACCATATATATATATGGTATATATGCCTTTGTCTCAATGTTTTTATTAATGCATGTATAGTTATTCGTTTATTTCTGCATAGAGACAATTTTGTTTAAAAGATAAACTTGGGAATCTATGGAAAATACATGTACAGTATATAATATATTACAGTCTGAGATGTATTTTATATTAATATTGACATTAATTTCTTTTATTGTTTAGGTTTGGTTAAACAAAGCAGACAGACACCTGGGAGAACTTAAGATAGACTGGGAGAAAACTAAACGATTTGCCTTTAATGAGAAGAGCAATCCTGATGACAAGGAGCTGGGACTTCAGATCGTGAAGGTACTTTAGGAATTATATATTCATACATGTTTGTAATCATTTTAACTGTGCACTGATGCAGATTTTTGAATTTTGTTGTTTTCAATTTTGGAATGTCAACAATTGGAGTGGGAAAGCTATACCAGTACAATGGTATTTTGGGAAATGCCAGTACATGTACATGTATATATTAAGTTCTAGAGCTGATATTTTTCCAAATACGTTGACCTCATTTTCACCAAAAATGCAATATTGTTGTTGAGTGTTTAATTGCATCGCTCTTCTTTATTTTGATGTATCAATTAGGTCTTGAAAGGAAAAGTGAATTCCTCTAAGATTTGTGTTTCCCATGTTATTTCCCCATTGTAAAAACTCATGCTATCCAACAAATTTTCTCCCAATTTGCACACATGTAGAGGATATCAAGCTCTAGAGCTGATTACTTTTGGGGGGCCATCTTGTTTTATAGTGGCCATTTTGAAGGTTTTCTATAAATCTTGTCATCACCATTTCAGGAAAATAGCTTATCGGATTTTCTCCAGATTTGCACACATGATAGAGGATATCAAGTTCTAGAGCTGATTAACTTAATTATCCCATCGAACGAAGTTCGGAGGGATATAGGGAACGCCTCCGTCCGTCCGTCCGTACGTACATCCGTACGTCCTGTCCGTCCGTCCGTCCGTCCGTCCGTCCGTCCATCCGTCCGTCCATCCGTCTGTCCGTCCGTCCGGGCAATAACTCAAATACCGTTGGCCCGATTTTGTTCATATTTTGTACACATATACCCTATTGGGGTAGAAGTTCTGCTCGAAAGTAGATTTTCAAAATGGCCGCTCATTTCAAAATGGAAGCACATGGCAGCCATCTTGAAAAATGGCGGCCTTTACTCGTCATTTTACGATTTTTGCTATAACTCAAAAAATAGTGGAGCGATTTTGTTCATATTTGGTATGTGAATACTATAAGCATTGCACACTGTCTAAAGACACTTTTGGTAGAAGGCGGCCATTTTGAAAAAAATTTTGAAAAATGGCCGCCATTTTAATGTATTTTACTATAACTCGAAAAGTAGTGGAGTGATTTTGTTCATATTTGGTATGTGAATACTATAAGCATGGCACACTGTCTATTTCTAATGACACTTTTGGTAGACAGTGGCCATTTTGAAAAATGGCCGCCATTTTAACGTATTTTACTATAACTCGAAAAGTAGTAGAGCGATTTTGTTCATATTTGATATGTGAATACTTTAAGCATGGCACATTGTCTAATAAAACTTTGGGGAGTAGTCGGCCATTTTGAAAAATGGCCACCATTTTTATGTGTGTTATTTTACAAGTACGTGTGCGATTTTTCAAAAGTTTTAGAGGTGGCTACTTAAAAGCACATTATTTCTTCTGGTGACAACTTGGCTAGTGAGCAACCATTTTGAAAATGGTGGCCTTTCTGGTGTGTTGTTTTATGATATTTGCTATTCGTTTGTAAAAATGCCAGCCATTTCTGTTCGATGGGATTCGCTACGCTTTGGCGTTGCCGTTGTTCTGGTTTGGCTAGTAAGCGATCATTTTGAAAATGGTAGCCATTTTTATGTGTGTTATTTTATGATTTTTGCTCCATTTGAAAATGTAGTAGAAGGATTTTGTAAAAATGGCAGCCATGGCTGTTAGATGGGATTTGTTACGCTTTGGCGTTGCTGTTGTCTAGTTATCATTACTAAAGATACAGCGTGTTCATGATGAGAAAAATATTGATAAACAATTGATATTGATTAAGTTAGGTAAATATTATCCAAATTTGATGTAAATTGTTGCATTTCTCTGACTTCTCCGGTTTTTTGGTGATGTAGAAGTATATAAACTAATTGCCTGAAAGTCATGTCAGCTATCCTCAACTAAAGATAATGATATTGATTGTCAATATCCACATCACATCACATGTTTTATTTTATTCATTGATTTTAGCAATAAAACTAAATAAAAAAAAACATCAAGAAATGGACCTAATGATGTGAAATCAATAACTGCTGAGATTCAATTTGATCAGGTGTTCTTTATAATGAACAGCATACCCATGTAAGGGAAATTGAGCTTATTTGATTCTATTTATAAATAAGTGTATTGATTAATTTTAGTCTGTGGCAGTAAGTGGAAAGCTGAAGATCAAAGAAATAAAGCTCTGGAAGTTATGTTTAATCTTTGGCTTTAGATTTTTTATGTGACTTGTTTATCAATGATTACTTTTTGGTTGAAGATATTTTACTGCCCTCTCATAAGCAAATCATTTACACTCCTGAAAAAAGCAAATTGCATATTTTTTATTTCAGTTACTAAAATTAGGTGTTACTCTCTGTTCTCTGCCCCCCCCCTCCAGGGGCGGATATAGGAATTATCAAGGGGGGGGGGCAAATTTCCAGTCAGAGAAAAAAGTTCATGACGACTATGACGACTATATCCCACCGATGGTGTGATAAAAATGGTCACAATAATAATATGTCAACATTTCTTGGCGGTGACATAAGAACTGTGTACATAAATTTTTTAGGGCCCAATTTTTTTTTTCTGGAGCTGATTAACTTTTGGGTGGCCATCTTGTTTTCAGGCGGCCATTCTGAAGGCTTTTCGATAAATCTTGTCATCGCCATTTCAGGAAAACCACTTGTTAGATTGTCTCCAAATTCGCACACATGATAGAAGATATTAAGTTCTAGAGCTGATTAACTTTTGGGCAGCCATCGTTTTTTCTGGTGGACAGTTTGAAGGTTTTTTGATGGTGTGATCTCGTTCTCGTCATGTGCCTTGTTACTTTCAGTTTTTGCAGTAGCATTAGCATCTTCAACAATTGGTAACACATTTGTAGTTGCAACCAATGTTGTGACACATTTTGTCAGGTTTACATCTTGTTTATTCAGGTATTAACTTAAAATATTTCTATGTAGGATCTGCACAGAACAGGCTGCAGTGGCTTCAGTGGCCATGACAATGAGGAAGAAAGAGCTGTACTGAAGAGGGTCTTACTGGCTTATGCAAGATGGAATAAACGTGTTGGATACTGCCAGGGGTTCAACATCATCGCTGCACTCATACTTGATGTCATGGAGACAAAGGAAGATGATGCCCTTAAGGTAAACCATCTGGTCATGATTAGTTTACATTAACAATTCTGTTTTATTCTCCACTTTCCCGCTTTGTGTTCCTTCATTTAACATTTTGAATTTGTGATGTTATTGTCTTCTTCATTGTTTGCTGATCAACTATATTGAAACATATACTCTTGTCCTTTCCAATAGTTTGATTTTGCTTCTTAAAAAAGAGAGCTTCAATTCTAATTACACACTGCTATGCTCTGATACTCGGGGTACTACAGGTATTCTAATACCAGTATTAAGTTTGATACTCAGGGTAGGTGTTCTAACCTGTAGTTTAGTGTATTATAGTACAAGAGAAGCCCTCCAAATTAGAAAATCATAGCACTTATTATTGTTTAGGTGTTATAAACTATCATTTATAGATGAAATTACCATTATTTAGATGTTTTCATCTTTGACATTTGAAAGCTGAGAATCAGCGTAGGAGGCTAATGTCTGTCTCTAGCTGTCTGCTGACAATGTCATTGAGGTTACTATACCTCTATACTTGCTCATTACATATCATTTCTCCAATATTTGAAAAGGTGTCTGACTTTCTTACCTTTAACATGTTGATACAAGTAAATTTGTCTTTGCCTGTTAAATTTATTTCTGTCTAATTTCACCTTTTCCTCTGTTTTTGCTATGCAAATGGCAAAATGAGACTTGGGAAATTGACATTTTGCGTGGACCTGAGTGTTATACCTCAATAGCAGATTTAATGTCTCTTGGGGATTTTAGTTAGGGTTTTGTAATGTCAAAGTTGAATCTATGTATATGTAGAGACTGGCAGAGTTACTAACTGAGCTTATAAAACTGTTACTTGTACATTTAATAGCTGAATATTGATTGGCCTTATTTAATAGGGTAAGACTATTTATTTCAAGAATATACATGATGCTCTCTTAAGATGGGATATTTTCATCAAAAGGCTCAACTGGAGAGAGAGAGCTGTGTTTGCAAGTACATGTATACACATAAAGTGTTCTCTGAGGCATATTTTACCATTCAAATTACTGTTTAATAGAAAGCGTAGAATGGTGCTATTAATTAGTATTTGTATTGTTCGTAATGATTGGACCAATTTAATTATTGCACCTAGTGATTAGGTGCACCAGTGAGGACATTGTCTGGAAGTAATAGCTTAATCCCATAGACATTTGTTTTATTACATCTTACTATGGGATTCAATAATCCCTTGATTTCTCTTCACACTGTTTTAACCCTTCATAGAATGGAATTCTAAACATGACTTGATCATGGCCTGATAAAACATGAACTATGTTTGAACAATATCAATACTTTCTCCAAGTTCATCATGATATTTTACGCTCTTAATTTTCCCTTTACTGCGTTTTCATTAATTTTGGTATTTGCCCCTTTTGGTACACTGGGAACACAAATTCCCAAAGATGGCAAACAATGATCTAATGTTCACAGAAACAGTCTCAAGACATTGGTCTATTGGTTCCTTTCTTTAGAAAGATAATGGTAGTTGCTGCACTGAACGATAAGATACCAAAATGCAAAAAAAAAAAATCAGATGCTTAAGGTGGCCTAAAGTGCTGCTTATTTTTTCGTGAAGCCACTCAGTAAAATTACGATTTCTCTGCACCCTGATGTCCAATCAACATTATTCGAGTATCTATGTGTTCCTGAAACGTTTGGGCATCCAGTAATGTCTACCCAATGTTTGCACGCGAAATTGACATAATTCATGACTGAAATCGGGAAGACAAAAATATGTGATATTCTTTCAGAATTGTTTATCATAACTATTTACAAAAATGTTCCCGAGAAACAAATCCATTTCGGTAAGGTTTGTTTTAAAGTCAAAAGCCCCAATAAGACAATACAAACCCAGAAAAAACCTGGAAGACTGCAGATTTCATGTAATGATTTACGTTCATATAAACAAGTAAAGTACATATAATACCCATATAAAACACTGGCCTACGTGACATGTAATAACATGTTCAAACTGAAATATAGAAAATTTACAACATAGCATTTGCTTCCGTGTTCTGTATGCGCCTCTACCTGCTTAATAAGACAATGTATCTTCAAATAATACCCTAGCCAAGTAGATTAGAGTCTCTGGAACACTTTTGTAAATAGTTTTCACAAGCACAGCTGGTATCCAAAAATTTGTCCGCTGTGACGGAGCATGTTATTTTGCATAGAAACAAAAGAAAATCCACACAATTAATTTTTTTACTCATATTTTGTTTCGCTATATTAAAGAAAATTGCCTACTCCATGCAATGGATATATCATTTGCGGGTAACCTTAACTTCTGTTTGAAGTCCAACAATGGTTAGAGTAAAAGCTATTGAAATCAGCGCCGGAGTATCATATTCCAAAATGTACATTTGTTTTATTTCTTTTAAATGGTACAAGATAGTGACACAATAATATTTACATGTTTTCAGCATAACTCTGAAGGCATTAATGAGATGTTGATGTATTGAGTATTTTTAATTTGTTTTATAAAAAATAATGTTTAAATTTTTTGTCCGCTGTGACAGAGCAGTTTCAAATCTGAAATACGTTAAGAATTCAAGATTTATAATATGTCTTTTACAACTACACTATGGAGGAGCGAACTTGTCAAATTTCTTTCGTAAAGTATTCTGAAAAATGAAACGTAATAAAAGTACACAATTCAAATTTTGAGATGTACACTCAGTTTGTACTGCAATCCAACTTCCCTCTATAGTCCATCTATAGTCGTTCCAAAAGGAAAGTGGAGTGTATCTTGGTATACGAAAATGAAAAATTTAATTTTAAGATTGTTCTTTATTTGAATGAGGGTTATCTGATGCAACTACAGTAAAACATGTGTACGGTGAACACATATGGAGCCCCGAAAATGTATTCCCTAGTTGGTAGATGTTCATTCCATAGAGCCAATTTCATACAGAAGTCAGAGGAATATGTGATAAGAAGAGGTGTTCACTAGAGAAAGTCATTGATACAGGTTTTACCATGCAACACGTTTGCCAAGACTTTTTTTTATATTTTTAGACTATGCAAAACAATGAGGCATGAATTTCAAATAATTACAAATTAAATCTGTATTGGGATCATCTTATATACAGAAATATTATGTGGTAAAAGGTTATACAACTGTCAGAATGCAGGATGTCTGTGCGCTATTTCGAATAAATTCATATAAGTCCTATTTACACTACATGTGACATTCCAAGATGTCTTGCCGAAAACATATTTGAAATATTATGTTGAGTTTACACCATGTTGATTTATGTTGATTTCAGTACAATCCTCCAAAAATGTGAAAAGATTGGTCATTTTTACATCTCAGATTTACATTATCCCAGATCTCCCAGACTACTTGTCATAATTTAGGAAAGTGATTTGAGACGTTCTCTCCTCTAAGGGTATGTTTAAAAGATATAATTTGAATCTTAAATTCTTAATGTAGTTCACAGTTAAAGCTGCTCCGTCATAGCAGACAAAAAATTAAACATTATTTTTTATACAAATATTAAAAATACCCAATACATCAAGATCTCATTAATACCTTCATCAGAGTTATGCTGAAAACATGTAAATATTATCGTGTCACTATATTGTACCATTAAAAAGAAATAAAAGAAATTGTATATTTTGGAGTATGATACTCCGGCGCCAATTTCAATAGCTTTTGTTGTTGGACTTCAAACAGATGTTAAAGTAACCCGCAAATGATATATCCATTACATGGAGTAAGTTATTTTCTATGGTATAGCGAAACATATGAGTAAAAAATAAATTGCGTAGGTAGGCAAAATAGCACGCTCCGTCACAGCGGACAAATTTTTCGATACCAGCCTGTGACAAGCAATTTTGTTTGTGAATCTCAAATTTTGTCTTCCCGATTTCATAAATTACGTCAATTTCGCATGCAAACTTTGGGTAGACGTTGTTATTCCGCTGGCCTGATTTTGTTCATATTTTACATGTGCCCCATGTCTGAGTAGAAGTAAAAGTCGCTTTTCAAAATGGCTGCTATTTTAATGCCGATTTTACAGTAATTTGGGTACAAATGTAAAACTGTAATACTTATACATACATTTTCAAGGTAAATAAATTTGATAAGGCATAAATAAATATAGAAGTGTAGATACTTTAGGAAACATATGGCATCCATCTTAGAAAATGAGTAGAATGATTTTGTTCTTATTTATATGTGATGGCGTATAGGCATGGCATGTTTTTTCGATAATAAGAAATGTATGTTAAACTGTAATATTTATATGTTTTCTAAGTAAAAAGTTTAATAAGACATAATGGGGGGCGTTACATGCTATTTTACACTTATTGCTACAACTTGGAAAATGGTGGAGCGATTTTGTTCATATTTAATATGTAATGACTTATTAGCATGGCACACTGTCTTTTGATACTGGCTTTTTACCTCTTGACTACCTGGAGTGACAAGATTTTTTGTCACCTAAGAAATGACCTTGAAACCCAGAGTGACGAGATAATCGGTCACTAATATTGCTCTTATTTGAACAATTTTCATCCAATTTGCACAAAATGTGTTTTAAAATGTGTACTTTTACACATGTTACATGGTAAGTAGCTCTAGAACTAATTAACCTTTTGGCAGCCATCTTGCATTCTGGTGGCAATTTTGGAAGTTTTTATTAGTTAAATCTTATCATTGCAATTCCATGAAAACCACTCAATGGATTTACTTCAAATTTTTACACATGTTACTGGTAAGAAGTTCTACAGCTGATTAACTTTTCGGTGGCCATCTTGCTTACTTGGTCAGCAAACCCACTGCTATCTTTTAGGTACAATATTGTTCACCCTGTGCCTTGTTAATTGCTAATCATACACTGTAGTGTGGATTGTTATGATTTTTCTATCACTCGCCAAGTGGCAATCGACTTGTATTTCACATTCACCAATGAAAAATTGCATAGTGAAGCCACTGATGATAAATGTATACTCACAGTTTTCTTGTGAACAAATATCTTTAAAAAGAAAGTAATAGGTTAATGAAAGTACTTAAAATTGATTTTCTTTCATCATATTCAACAATGGCGAATTTCATGTCCGACAATGTGGCAAGGCACTTCAATTTTACATTGACTCTAAATAAATAGATCCACCTGGGGCTACTGTAGAGTGGATATGACCCACACTGATCATAATATTAGTCTATATTTTCTGCCTGTAGGTGATGATTCTGCTGATAGACCACGTCCTGCCAGAGAGTTATTTTGTTAATAATCTACGTGCCTTATCAGTGGACATGGCTGTGTTTCGGGACCTCTTGCGTGTTCACCTTCCCGCACTCTCTAAACACCTTGATAGGCTTCAGTTAGCTGCTAGGGATGATTCTACAGGTAGAGGTCTATTTATCTAAAGTTTGTCACCTATACAGAATATATTATTACAGAGGGCAGATGTCTTATAGTAAAGTCTATTGCTTAGGTCGAGAGAAATCTAACTAACTTAAATACTAATATAGGCTAGACACTATTGATAAAACCTCATTTTATTTGTGAAAATATGTCATATTATATACCAATGGATAGGGAATTTACTAATCATTAATAAACTATTATACTCTGAAGTAAATGAAGTTGAGCTATTTATATATACTTTGTTGGTATGCATTAAAATGGAGTTCTTAATAAATACATGTACATTAGCCTGATATAAGTGAAGTAAAGTGATATTCAGCTCCAGGGTAAAACATGGTATGTGCCACCTGGGATTAACAAACCAAGGTATATCAGGCCCAGGTGGTTCTAAGTGCCTCAATTTATTATACCTTCAGGAGCCAGTTATGAGCCACCCCTGACTAATGTATTCACGATGCAATGGTTCCTCACTCTGTTTGCTACATGTCTTCCTAAGTACACGGCTCTTAGGGTCTGGGACTCTGTCTTTTTGGAAGGCTCAGAGATACTCATTAGGACAGCATTGGCTATTTGGGCCAAACTTTCTCCGTAAGTAAAGGTTATCTGTATATAGCCAAGTTCAAGTACCTTAATGTTTCAAATAAGACTACCACAGTCGTCGGATCTTAAATTCGTTAGCTTTACAAATCAACTTCATAATAAAAATATTGTATTGGAAATTGGTAAAACCGACAGGCAAATTTATTGAATATTTGATTTTAACTTTGAAACAGTTGAAAAATTTCTACAAAAGTACAGGCACTTTTGGTATAAACAACCATAGAAAATTGCCTTTATCTGCTAATGCTGCTAACAGAATGACAACCCGTGGTTTACAAGTCTATAGTGTATTTTATTTAGGCGTATCTTGAAAGCTCAGAGTGCAGATGAGTTCTACACCACTATGGGAGCTCTAACCCAGGAGATGATGGCTGATACTATCATAGATGCCGATGACCTAGTCAAAGTAAGGCACTTACACATTATTTGTGTAGTGTGCAATCATTAAACTTCCCATATTAATGCTTCATTTCTTTTTTAGTTTGCTCAAAAACCTTTAAATTCTTAAAAATGCAAGAAAGGGGGTTGAGGCTTTTGGATAGCCCAGTAGATTATCCACTAAAGATTTGTAAAAGTATAATGTAAATAAATTAGAAAAGAGAGGAATTACCAACGAGTATATTTATTCATCAATTGTAGAGAAGTGCACAAATATCAGATATTTAAAAAAGTATTAATACAAATTAAGTTATATGTGTGATTTAGGAAAATCATGAGGCGTATTTTGATTTTTGATGCTTGCTAAAATATTTGCCCTTAAATGAAATTTGCTATTGCTCCTTTAATTCCATTCCATAATATTGACCGTTCATCATTGAATATTATGTTTTTAATGTACTTGACAGGTAACAGTTCTCTTCTTATTTCAGACAATATACAATATTGCTCCATTCCCATTCCCGCAACTAGCTGAGTTGCGAGAGAAGTATACATACAATATAACGCCATTCCAAGCTGCCATGAGTGTTGGGAAACGCCCTTTGAAAGGTGGTGCCACTGGGATCCTGAGTGATGATGATGATGGTGATGAGGATTTGGATGTTGTGAATTGCTTCGGGGGAATTTTAGGCCCTCAGTCTTCCCCTGGTAAAACTAGAAGTAAGTTAAGCAAAATAAAAATTTAGCCTACATATAGGATACGAGTATTCTGCAGTAGCAATGTAATATCATCTTGATCCATCAAGGTATTACATATGACTAAAGGAATACACTAGTTTAACAGTATGATGTAGTGTACAAAAAGGACCAAACAAAAATTAAAAGACTGATGCCTAAAAACATATTTGCTTCAAATTCTTCTCATAATAATTATATTATGAGAAATTCTAGTGAAACCCCTGTTCATTATACATTAGGAACAAATACAAATATTATATGAGAACAAAAGATTTTTAATACATAAGGTGTGTAATTCATTAAGTGCATGATTCATTAGGTGCATAAGTTCACTAAATGTGTAATTCATTAAGTGTATAATTCATTAGGTGCATAGTTCATTAAGTGTGTAATTCATTAGGTGCATAGTTCACTAAATGTGTAATTCATTAAGTGTATAATGCATTAGTTGCATAGTTCATTAAGTGTGTAATTCATTAAGTGTATAATTCATTAGGTGCATAGTTCACTAAGTGTGTAATCCATTAAGTGTATAATTCATTAGGTGCATGATTCATTAGGTGCATAGTTCACTAAATGTGTAATCCATTAAGTGTATAATTCATTAGGTGCATAGTTCATTAAGTGTGTAATTCATTTAGTATAATTCATTAGGTGCATAGTTCACTAAGTGTGTAATCCATTAAGTGTATAATTCATTAAGTGCATGATTCATTAGGTGTGTAATTCATTAAGTGTATAATTCATTAGGTGCATAGTTCATTAAGTGTGTAATTTATTTAGTATAATTCATCAGGTGCATAGTTCACTAAATGTGTAATCCATTAAGTGTATAATTCATTAAGTGCATGATTCATTAGGTGTGTAATTCATCAAGTGTATAATTCATTAGGTGCATAGTTCACTAAGTGTGTAATCCATTAAGTGTATAATTCATTAGGTGCATAGTTCATTAAGTGTGTAATTCATTTAGTATAATTCATTAGGTGCATAGTTCACTAAGTGTGTAATCCATTAAGTGTATAATTCATTAGGTGCATAGTTCATTAAGTGTGTAATTCATTTAGTATAATTCATTAGGTGCATAGTTCACTAAGTGTGTAATCCATTAAGTGCATAGTTCACTAAATGTGTAATCCATTAAGTGTGTAATTCATTAAGCGTGTAATTCATTAGGTGTGTTGTTCATTAAGTGAGTAATTTATTAGGTGACCAATCCATTAGGTGTGTAGTTCATTAAGTGTGAAATTCATTAGGTGCATTATTCATTAGGTGTAATTAGATCTTTACATTGCAGGTGATACAGATGGGTCATTTGATATGTCTAAGATCAGTCCTGGAGCATATGGAGCCATACCAGGAGCCCTACAGTCCCAGATACCTGCCTACCTTGAGCGAATGAATACAGATATACACGGCCTGAAACGTCAATATACACGACTCAAGGAACGGCAGAAACAAGCTCACATATTTATAGCAGGTATGTAAAATGTGACATGGAGTGGGGCCGGGGGAGGAAATTCTACATAAGCTGTAGTTTGGCTTTTTTAAAGTGGAAGCAAAGAATAGAGATTCTCAAAGAGCATGCCAACATTTCCTGTACAATCTTTATTTTACTATCTGAAAAAAGAATTGAGATATCTGATTTCATAAAAGTCATTGAAGTTAATGATAACCATAGAAGTTAAAGAAATATTTTGTGACACTTAAAATCATTAAACTTCTGGTTCCAGCTGCAGCTAGCAATGCCAAGAGTCAGAAGTCTTACCCCAAGGCAGCTTTAGCTCCTAACATAGAGTCCCCTGTAGTGTTGAATCACTTGTTTGTTGGCCGAAAGGCACGTCTAGGCAACAAAAATCGCTGTGTGACAGATGGACCGAGAATTGCCCCAATATATAGCAAATCAAACCCTCCAGCTGTTGCCAAAGAGAATGTGATCATCAAACATAAAGTGGATGTTAATCGGAAAGTTAGCAATGCTTCAGAAAATAGTGACCATATTGAACCTAAATCAAGTGAAAGTTCAGGCAATAATTCACCATCTGTATCTCCCCCTAGCGAGCAGAATGATTATGTGGGGTTGGATTTAGCATCCCTATCTAGTGAGCAAAATGGATATACAAAATTGGATCTTGAGACTGCTGAGCTTTCTCCCTTAGAAAACAAACCTGAGAGTTTACAACAAGCAGTAGATAAACTTATGATAGAGGAGGACGCTCAAACTCCCCAGAGTGTTGCTATTAATGTACAAGATTGCTCAGATAGTCCTCAAATAAGTAATACAGATGTCAATAACACTCAAAGTGCTTCCAATGAATCAGCTATGCATGCTAAACCAGACAGTACAAATCAAAATACAGAGAGACCACAAACTCTTCCTATATCTAGTCAGAGACTTAATAGTTCAAGTAATAATTCTGAGGTAAGCGGGACTAGAGATGAATCCCCGTCACATCAACATTCCGCTATGTATGTAGCAAAGATGACCTATAAGACTCACAAAAAGTCCCAAGAAAGGAGTCCAGCTGTCTCGCCCAATCATAGCAGTACAATTAGTCCCAGTAACATAAGTCCCAATAGTGGTGCTAGTCCTTCAAGGACCCCAAGTCCTGGTGCTAGTCCTAAACCATATAATCCATTTCCAACGAGACATATGAATCCAAACCGTGCTAAAAACGGCATGAAACTGGGACTATATTCTTCAAAGGGCATCCCAGGAGTGCCTGATAAAAAGACATCTCCAATCAAAAATATAGGACGTTCTCAAATCAATGCATGCTTACATAGACAGTATATGGCAGAAGTGAAAGCTGCAGGAAAATCGCAGAAATAATAGACCTTTCCGATAAATCCTGACCCTTTTTGGCCAGATTTATGATGTCATTTTTTGTAGAAGGTTTGAGACAGTTTTGAAATTTAGTACTAAGTGAATCCTATCATGACATCATAGCCAATTGGTGGAATGACTTACTGGATTGGTCTCTTGCCAAATAGATATAAATCTAATGCGCAGTCATATAGAAAAATGGTAAATTAGTTAATTTGCCCAATGTAAATGAATGGAGATTTGCCAATTGTATATATTTCCTGTGGCTTTGCAATTGACTGTAGATGTCTAGATATTCATCTATTACATGTATCAAGAAGTCTGTTAAAAGGAGTATAATTGATTTGTCGTAAACAGTAATTTGAGACTAATCATGTTGGATCATTTAGTGTTCCTATAATGTATGCAATAACATTGGTGGGCAAAATAGAATCTGATTATTGTTAAAAAAAAGACTTTGATGCAATTTAATATATATGATCTCTAAAAATAAATTAGTTACTACAATAACAACTGAAAGATTGTATTTTGTGATCATGATTCGTAAGCAGTCTCAGTATTCTCTATTTTGATGATGGTGTTATGTCTATATTTCATACTTATTTACTATTACATAATTTCACACCGTTAACATTTCCTGTAAAATCATTCCGTATATAATTTTCCAGAAAGATGTTTTAAAATCAAAATATATATTGATTGATCTTGTCTGGAATCTTATAGGATGAATTAATTTTAAAACAAAGATAAGTTGACCTAATAGAATTTAGGAGCTATCTAAAAAGTTCAGCACTAAATTCTGCATGTAATCCATGTTGCTAGCTAGACCATCCCTTTTAATGGAGGGTACTCTTTGGAACGTTTTATGAATAAAAGGTTTTCCATTCTCAATGTTTGTAAAAAATTCATATTACTACATTAAGCTCTTTGTTATTTTACATGATGTAAATTCATTGTTGTTGCTGTTTATTTTGTTTTTATTTGAATTCAATTGCTTTGCTTTTGTTTATTATACTTTGTTATGTTTCTGAAAACAATCCAATGTTGTTATCTATATCGTTGTGTACTTTTTGGCTATGGTTAAGAATTTCTATAGCCTGTATATACAGGGTGTTCAAAAAAATGCAACCGAAAAAATCACTATATCATAGAAAATACTAATCCAATTGTGTTCATTTTTCGGGAAAGAAAGAGGAGACTGACTGTGTATGTATAGCTCCTGTTGTAAGTTAGTTGTTAAACATGATGCCTTTGACACCTGCTCAAAAGACATTAGTATTACTACTTCAATTATGTTCATTTTTTCAGGAAAAGAAAGAAGAGACTGTGTATGTATAGCTCCTGTTGTTAGTTAGTTGAAAAACATCATACCTTAGACACCTGTTCAAAAGACAGTTGTACTAGGAAAATATGAAAAACGCAGTCAGAGGCCACAGCAATAAAACCAAATAACTTTCCAACCATAGTGTTTTGGCACTTCAGATTTTGCACAAATTATCCTCATTCTATGTGTGGTGAATTTATGGAGTTTCATCAAAATCACTCCAGGGACTTTACAGTCATGGTCAAAATGCCTTCTTAATTCTGCCTGAACCAGGGCATTTGACTGCGATTTGAAAGCATTTTGACCATGACTGTAAAATTCCTGAAGTGATTTTGATGTCACTCTACAGATTTACCAGACATTGAATGAAGATGATTTGTGCCAAATTTGAAGAGCCATAACACTATGGTAAGGAAGTTATTTAGTTTTTTTGCGGTTGCAGTCACCCCTGACTGCATTTCTTGTATTTTCCTAGTACAACTGTCTTTTGGGCAAGTGTCCAAGGCATCATGTTTTACAACTAACCATCTACCGGAGCTATACATACACAGTCTCTTCTTTCTTTCCTGAAAATATGAACATAATCGAAGTAGTATTTTTCAAAATATAGCAATTTCTTTGGGTTGCGTTTTTTTAACACCCTGTACCATGTGTAAGAAATTGTTTTTGCCACAAAACTATTATGATTTCTATATTTTACAGGTTTGGGGATATACAGGGTGGTCAAAAAAAATGGAAACCCTATTACCATTTTCCTCATATCTTTGTTATTTTAAAAAATAACTCCCTGATATTTTACACTTTTGTACATCATTCAATTTGCTACCAGCCTACCTTATTTCATGACCATCAGATTGATAGTCACAATGTTACAGTACTTTAAAGAACATGCCCAGTGGCCACTATTGCGTTGTGGGGAAACCTGTACTCATCGTCTAAAATGTCCCTACCTGTGGGGATATGGCAGAGATAGAGTATATGAGAATGACCTCAGGACAATTGCGAACCTCAAAAGTGAGATCATCTGTTTCATTCAGGCCATACCTGCTGAGGAATGCTTTCAGCTCATTGACAACTGTGCTGTTTTGCCTACAGCGCGATAATGGTCAAATCTGAAGCATGTTATTCAAAGTGCTGTAAAATTGTGACTATCAGTCTGATGGTCATAAAATATGGTAGGGTGGTAGGAAATTGAATGATGTACAAATGTGTGAAATATCAGGGAGTAATTCCTTAAATTGACAAAGATATAAGGAAAATGCAGGGTTTCCATTTATTTTGACCACCCTGTATAAAAAGTTCTTTGAAACATGGGGGCTAGCTGTAGGTGGAAATCATCCATATACTATTTAATTCAGTACTTGAAAGTAACTAGGCTGTTTAAGAATAAATGAATTATCTCAATTTGCAATAGAATTTGCTGTACATCAAGTTTTATTCATTTTTTGTCTCTGCATGTAAAAATGATGTTCATTTTTATGTCGTCACTCCATCTTTTTATGTGGATGGTGTTCAGTGGCTATTGACCAGTTGCTCTCAGAACCTTATATCTCTTATATAGCTCAACTGTTTGTCCATTAGGAATGATTATTCCAGTCCTGTAAGGATGCTGTTTGCCCATTGTGCGTTCCTGTTAATTTAGTGTGTGCATTATAAAATACAGTAAAACCTGTGTACATTGAACATTTTTTGTTGGTAGGTGTTTACTACAGAGAGGGTAATTTATACAGAAGTCAGTATAGTATATGCGGGGAAGGGTGTCCATTTAGGTGTTCACTCGAGAGTTGTTCACTGAGACAGGTTTTACTGTATGCACTTTTGTTAGTTCACTCATTGGTAAGAAGTATATCAGTTTAAGAAGTTGTGGCTTATACAGAGAACATAAATGTGAGGATATATTATAATTATATTAAACAAAGAAAATATAAATATTTTTAAGACAAATAATTTATTTTGTTACTTTTTGTAAAATTGCTTGATGGAATAAAAATGTTTCATCAAACATGGTGAAAATAAAATCCAAATCTATAATAACCATAACATATAAACACTTTGGAATATTATATATAACAGTGGATAATTTTTTTTCTAAAATGTGTTTTAAAGTCATATCATGGTTTGTCTTAATTAGGATGGTTATTACCTCCAACAGATGATATCATTCGGAAAAATCCAATTGGATACATGTAAGTAGATTCCCTTTTACTTGGCAGGACAAAATGTCAGTAATATCCATGATAATGTGTCCATTGTTGTAACTATCATACATTGTTGTAACTATCATACATTGTTGTCACTATCATACATTGTTGTCACTATCATACATTGTTGTCACTATTTTACATTGTGTTTTACAATTATCCATCATCCGCCAAGTCCATTTGGTTGAAGTATCGAGATACAAGGCAAATAATTAGATTCAGCGGTATCAATCTTGCATCTACACTATTTTCCTGTAAAATTAAGATCATCGATTAATGTTAATGGTTCTGTTATGGATTGTTGATTTCCTACTGAAGCAATACGCCATGGACAATACAGAAAGTCAGTCCTTAAGCACCTGAATATACTTTGTAAATCTCGAAAAAAAACTATATGTGTATATCTCGCCAAAGAGATTTAAATATTATATATATATTACACAAACAAGAACCCAAAATATAATCAAAATAGTGTAAATCCAAATCCAAATTACATCTCTCGTTATATATAGATAAAATGAATATGTTACAATAATAGGGAGAGGTAAGAGCTACATACCAAAGATGCTCTAAGATTGGCTGAGTTTCTGGCTAGTTCACGAATCAAACTGCAAGCCTCTGGTATCAGAGGTTTCTCCAGGCAACACAATAATGCATAGAACCACTGACCCTTAATTTAAAAACCAAACAGTATTATATTATGGCATAAATCTGGAGGTTTTGATCAATGTGAATATAAACAAAATTAAAATTATGACAAAATAATAAGATGGCAATTTTGTAAGTGTTGTCAGAAAAGTATATTCTGTCATCACCTGTTCTGGTGTAAATCCTGTTGCCTCAAACCAATTGACATGGTACTCCAGAACATCCAGGACTGTTGTCTGAAAAGATAAAAGCTCATGTATTTTACATTGTCTTCTTTTAATATATAGGTCAATGCCAATCTGTGTTGTTGAGAAACTAGAAGAAATGTGGAATATTGAAAAGGCAGCCATTTTCTTGAAATATCAGCATTTCCTGGAGAGGTCTGGAGTTAACCAATATTATCAAAATGTGATATGTGAAACTTTTTTTTAATTTCAAAAAGGTTTTTTGTAGCTTATGTCTCTTTCCTTTACCTTGCTTAATGAAAACACAGAATGAAATCCTGTGCTCAGAATTATTCACGGAATAATTACTCAATGAAGAATAAATAGACCTGAACTATTCATGAATATAACTGAAGTACAAATTGGACTTTTAAAATATGCATTAATTGTATATTCATGAATTATTCATAATATTATATTACTAAATATTCATGAAAAAGTAAGCCTCATATTTCTTTATACATTCATCACTTGTATATTCATGATATTACATTCCTCAATATTCTTGAAATCTTCTCTAGGTTTAGCCTCATTTTCTTGAAGTATTGATCAACTGTTTATTCATGATGAAATATTCATCACTTGTATATTCATGAAATATTACTCAATGAAGAATATTACTGAAATACAAATTGGACTCATTTTATTTCTTGAAATATTCATCAACTGTTTAATTTTGCTAAATTTTACATGATACATTGCTAATTTTGTACATATTATGGCAATTTTTTCAGACCAAAAAAGTCTGGGGAGATCACTGAGCAGTTATTCACACCAATGCATAGCAGACATCCTCATGTTTCTTCAGTAGAAAAAATTAAGAACATTTGTTGGTAAATTACTGACGAATGAGGCCATTCATGCATGGAAGTGGTTAAGAGGAAAATCCAATTTGAAATTTTAGTTCTCATTGAAACCAATTACAAAAATATTTTTTTATTTTCAAAACCTTTATTTTACTAAACAGGACGTTTCGGATCCTGTCTGGATCCTTCTTCAACTGTATAAAAACTGAACTGAAGCGCTACAAATCAATTAAATAAAAACAATATTACGTCATATTAACTCACCAAAAATTCATTCCAAATTCCTGCCAATTTATAGTATATATATTATATATACAGGGTGGGCCAAAAAAACCATTACCCAACTTCAAATCAGGATAAAAATAGTTACATTCAATATGGTACATAACACTATGTCATGAAATCAATAGTAAAGTTTTATTATTCTTATTTGGGAGGCCGGGTTGCTTTTTAAGGTCTCCAGATTTAAGAGAGAAAATAGTAAATCTGCAGAATTAAGTTAATTTTTTATTTATAGAATATCATTCTTTTGTTAGGTGAATACATGCTTGGATATTGATATTTGCATCATTGTGTGACTAAATTTATTGTTTATGAATTTCAGTGTTGTTTAATAACATTTTAAACTTTATTTATTTAAACAATTTTAACAATTGCTCAATATACCCCCACCCCCTCCCCTCTGCATCAACAATAAGCTTCAAGTGGTAGCGCAATCTATCAATAGCCTTATTGAGAGATTTCTGTTGCAATTCAGCACTTTAGGATTCTGTTTCAGCTCATCAATGCTGTTTATTGGATGCTTTTGATTGTACCATTTCCTCGAGATGGCTCCATGTATGGTAATCAAACACATGAGCATCGGGGCCGGGCTGTTGGGTGGCCAAGCATCGAGATCAATCAAATTGACACCTTGTTTGCAAAGAAATGTCTGCTTTGATCTATGGTACGAGGCAATGTCTTGTTGGAAAATAAAATCCTCGTTACATATACGTTTAATGTATTTTAACAGACCCCCTTTGAGTACTTATTGATAATAGACAACACTAAAATTCATAAACAATAAGTTTAGTCACACAAATATACAAGCATGTATTCATCTAACAAAATGATATTCTATAAATAAAAAATTAACATCGTTCCACGGATTTACTATTTTCTCCCTAAAATCTGAATACCTTAAATACCGACCCAGCCTCCCAAATAAGCATAAAAAACTTAAATATTGATTTCATGACATAGTGTTATATACCAAATTGTTCGAAAATGGATTACCTTTAAAGTGATATATAAATCAATGTATCATATAGAACATAGCTTTTTTCATTCTGATTTAAAGTTGGGTATTGGTTTTTTTGGCCCACCCTGTATATATATATATTGTTCTTCTTTATAAAAATAGATTCTTTAATCCATCTTTCAAGTCTCTCATTGTCATTGTCCAAAACTGTAGTATCGTTCCAGTCCATTACAAAATTATTCTGAATTAATATGATGTACGAGTGTTTTTATTATTTAATTGTTTTGTAGTGCTTCAGTTCAGATTTATACAGTTGAAAAAGGATCCAGACAGGATCCGAAACGTCCTGTTAAGTAAAATAAAGGTTGTGAAAAGAAGAAAGAAATATTTTTGTGATTTAGTAATCCAACCTGAAGAACATGTTTCAGAACAATCACAGGCTGGTATCAAAAGATTTGTCTGCTGTAAAGGAGCATGCTATTTTTCAAAAAAACACTACGAATAATTTATTTTTCAACTCATATGTTTCGTTATATCAAAAAAATTACTTACTCCATGCAATGAATATATCATTTGTGGGTAACCTTCACCTCTGTTTGAAGTCCGATAACGCTAGGATTGAAAGCTATTGAAAATAGCGCCAGAGTATCAAACTATAAAATGTACCATTACTTTTAATGGCATGATATAGTGACACGATAATATTAACGTATGTTTTCAGAATAACTCTGAATGTATTAATGAGATATAGATGTATTGGGCCGCTTTAATTTGTTTATAAAAAATAATGTTTACATTTTTTGTCCGCTGTGACGGATTAGTTTCACAGTTCACATTTGCAACTGCTCCGTCACAGCGGACAACAAATTTAAACATTATTTTTTATAAAAGATTTAAGGAGACCCAATACATCAACATCTCATTAATGCCTTCATAGTTATGCTGAAAACATATGACATTGTGTTGTTGCCATTAAAAAGTTAAACAAGAAATGGTACATTTTGGAGTATGATACAGTGTTATTGGACTTCAAACAGAGGTGAAGGTTACCTGCAAATGATATATCCATATAACAAAACATATGAGTTAAAAATAAATTGTAGGGTTTTCTCAGTGTTTTTATGAAAAATAACATGCTCAGTCACAGTGGACAAATCTTTCGATACCAGCCTACGCCAATGGAACAGTAATATTTAAAAAACATAATCTATTATTTTTTAAACCTAGCTAGACAATCAACTTTGGGTTACTTTGAAAGTTTAACATATAAGAAAAGATTGATGTAGAAAAATTGATTTTTTTAAAAACATGTTGACACCCTAAATGGAATAACAATGATGTCACTAAGAGAAATTCTTTAATATGCTAAAACATTTAAGTCACACACTAGATGTGACGTCCTTTGTTAAATCTTCACAATGGTGTTATAAAGGGGTGGTATAATTTCAACAGCACTGTATAGTGGAATATTTGATGGTTAAAAAATTTCAACTTTCATTTGAAAAATAGCAGGAAAGGAGTGGTATCGATATGGTGAACGTTTTGAACACACGTTTCTCTTAAACCAGTCATCAAAACATTATGAAAATTCTACACATCATCGATTTAATGGTCATCTTTAGGATGGTAACATTATAATTTGAATTATTTATGTATACTTTTCTCTATATTGTTTTAGAAAACACATCAGACACTTCTTTCGTTCTTGGTATCATATGTTCGGAATGAAATGAAACATCTATTCGAACCTCGTTGGAACAAAACGACATAAACACAACGTGTTTAGGTCTCTCAATATTGTAATTGTACAAAGGAAATTTTGGTTGATTTTTAAAAAGTATCTTGTTAATGAAATAAAAGGTTTATCTTAATTTTTATCTATTTTTGGGGGTTTTGTTTTAAGTTTTTGCATACTTTTTGTTAAATCAATCAAAATTTCCTTTGTATAACTATAATATTGAGAGGTCTAAGAAAATGTTTTCAATAATTGGTTTTAGAGAAAAACATTGTTGAATTCAGATCACCATATCGATACCTATCCTTTGAATATTTGAGAAATAAAAAGCTGACAATTTTTTTCCCAATTTGTTTTTTAAAAAATCTCAAAAATATCTTTTTAAGTCATGAAAAATTGTAAATGCATGATAAAAACTTGTTTCTAAACTTTACATGGGGCCTTGAATTAACAAGCAAGATGTGAAATGGTTAAAGATCTTGGATTCAATGAACATGAACAAAAAAACTTCTTCATTTTTTACTTTGATCTTAATACAAGTTTGTTTGCATAGTTAAAATATATAAATTAAATACAATAAGCACCTTTCAAATTCTAACTTAATTTTTAAATCTTTAATATGCTATACCTGATTCATAGCACACATGATACTGAGTAGGGGAGCTGTCCGTTCCCATGTTTCATCTTCCTGATTCCTTGTCTCACACATTGAAGGAGGTTTCAATCTACCAAAGCACAACTTACACCACCCTTCAACATCATCATCTGCAGGCTTCAAACAAGGAATATAAACTGTGACAATTATGTTCTATATAATATATCCCTCTTGGGATCAGCAGTTCTGCAAACCTTTAAGGATCAATCTTTTCGTGGTGGTGACATTATAAAAGGGGCCTGTATAATTGTGTCAAGTTTAAGAGGTGTTTGCTTCAGGGAAGATTTTTCAATTTGCATTCAAATGTTTCACCTAACCTGACTCAAGAGTTTAACTTACCAGAGTTGGTGCCTGTTTTATCTTATTTTTCTTCATTGTAGCTTTATATCGTGCAAGTTTCTGAAAACATGCAGAACATAGAAGTCATATACCTGTACATGTATATACAACATATATTAAATTAAACCTACCACATGTTTTTTTTCATTTTTTCCACGCATATTTTTATTTAGAACTACACATACTGTCTGGATATTCTGTCAACAATGATTTTAAAGGTAAAAGGGCTTTAACGCATTGCTGACCAACCCTGAGATATCTTGTCTGACGTCATAATCATATCTGACCAACCCTGAGTTCTACCTCCTTGCTAAAACCAATGCCGATTACATGAGATGACTCACTGCGCATGCGTAGGTTAGATTTATTGCGACTTTGCAGGTAGGTGGACGTGTTCCACATTTGAGCTGCTCAGCAGGTGAGAATTCACTTTGCGGTTTTTATGCCTGGACTTTAGCTATTCTGTCTAATGTTCAGTACATTCAATACATTGATATATATCTAACTGGATATATTTCGATGAATAATTAACCCTGACTTGGGGTTCAATTACTTTGTGAATAGCAGCTTACCCCTGATTGGGAATTTCTTTGTCTCGCAAAACGCGGGAAACTTTTTACAAATAAACCAATGGTCATAGCCTAACTGGGCTTTCATTGTGATAAGCGTTTTGTTTTTATAAACCACGCTTGAAGTAATTCTTTCGAGCTGACTTGGCTCTGCGTGAATATAATTACGAGCTGACTTAGCTCTGAGTGAATGTAATTACGAGCTGACTTAGCTCTGAGTGATTGCTAAAAACTCTCAATACACTATAGTAAAGAGATCAGTGTAACTCAACACGACTTCATCAGTCAATATGGCACAATCTCAACACGGAGATATAGATATGGAGACAGAAGATAGTGTCCTTGATTTGCCAAAATCTTCAGATCTAAAAGGAAAATCAAAATCAAAATCTAAAACAAATTCTAAGAAAGATGCTAATATAGCTCATGTAGGTAAGGATGATTTCCTAAGCCTAACAAATGCCATCACAAGTGGAATGAACGCTATGAAAGATTCTATGGCTGGCATAATGTCGTCATCATTGAAGGACATTAAAGATGCAATGAGGCAAAATCCAAACTCTCTCGAGGAGGACAATCAGTACATCGATAATGATGATGAATATGATCAAGATCAGTATGATTATGATGAGGACAGTGAAAGTTCTCAACCTCCAAATAAGAAATCAAAAGCCAACAATTCGACTGATAACGAAATTGTTATGTCGGATTTTATGAAACAACTGAAATCTCAAATAAAACCTCAGGAGGACCAAGGTCCACCGATTGCAGCAGCAGCTGCTTCTTTAGTGAATGAGTTGATTCAAACCAACTTGGATGGAGATGATGAAAAATCTAAACATGACACTTATAAAACTCCAAATAACACACCTTTACTCTGTGTTGCAAAGGTTAATGAACAAATATGGTCAAGGGTTTCATATGATCTCCGTACTAGTGATGTACGACTACAACAGGCTCAGAAGCCTATCATAAGTGCTATAGTGGCTGCCACGAAATCATTAGAAATACTGGATCAAATCAAATCTAAGTTGGCAACTAATTCTGACGAATATGAGGACCAATTTGGAAAAATTGGTCTGATGTTATACGATAGCATACAAATGTCGTGTCAGGCCAACTACAAATTGAATATGAGACGCCGGGAATTATTCAAACCGGAAATAGCACAAGGATTCAAGCACCTGTGTGACAAATCTGCATCAGTAACCAAGTATTTATTTGGCGATGATGTTACAAAACAAGTAAAGGATATCGCTGAAATGAACAAAGCTCAAGTTCGAGGTTCAGTATTTTCTCAATCAAGAGGAAATAACCGTGGTGCTAGAGGACGTGGAGGTCGTTCACGTGGTAGAGGGCGTTCCCAGAACCATTTTTTATACCAAGGCCAGGGACGCAGCAACTATCAATGGGGATATTCCCAGCAAAACAACTCCCAACGCGGAAGAGGAAGAGGCAAATCTCAGAAGAGAGGCCAGTCTCAAGATTACGAGAATCAGCAAAACAAATAGCTACAACTGACCCTACTGAGGTAAGAAATTCACTTAGATCTCAGTTAAAATTGTTTAAAGGTGGCAGATTGAAATTTTTTTATGATGAATGGAAAAGTATCACTAACGACCAACAGTGTCAAGATATAGGGACAGAAAATATTGACATTTTAAAAGTACCGTTTTTTCGTTTTGTTATTATGGAAAGTCAAACATGACTATAGATGATGTTTTATGTAGGCATTTATGTATGATACTTAACCATACTCTACGAAGAATGGATGATTTTTGTAGGCATTTATGTAGGCATTCTTAAAACACGTTACTTTGCCTTAAAAACGTTACTTTATTGGACTTACTTTTCTCCTCGAAGAATGGATGATTTTATATTAGCATTTTCAAAACACAGTACTTTGCCAATAAAACGTTACTTTATTGGACTTTAACTTTTCCCCACACATGCCGGAATGTATGATTTTTTATGAAGGCATTCTTAAAACACGTTACTTTGCCTTAAAAACGTTACTTTATAGTCTAACTTTTCTCCTCGAAGAATGGATGATTTTTAGGTAAGCATTTTCAAAACACAGTACTTTGCCAATAAAACGTTACTTTATCGGACTTTAACTTCTCCCCACAAAGAATGTATGATTTTTTATGTAGGCATTCTTAAAACACGTTACTTTGCCTTAAAAACGTTACTTTATTGGACTTTAACTTTTCTCCTCGAAGAATGGATGATTTTTAGGTAGCCATTTTCAAAACACAGTACTTTGCCGATAAAACGTTACTTTCGTGGACTCTAACTTTTCTCCTCGAAGAATGGATGATTTTTTAGGTAGGCATTTTCAAAACACAGTACTTTGCCGATAAAACGTTACTTTCGTTGACTCGCGTGGACTCTAACTGTTTCCATGCCAAGTTGTTAAAAACACGTTACTTGGCCAGTTTATTCCTTCAAGTGTCGAACATTTTAGCCTGGCATTTTTAAAAAGCGTAACTTTGGCCGATTTCCGTAACTTTCTTGTACTCTTAAGTTTTCCTCCATCGAGCGTTGGTAAATTTTAGGTAGGCATTTTCAAAAAGCGTTACTTTGGCCCTTTTGCGTTACTTTCTTGGACTTAAACTGTGTAACTTGAAAATCTTGTCAGTGAGTGGTATTACTAATTATTGTAAAATATAAGATGGACCATAGTGTAAAGAGAGGTTAGTAGTGTTTTTCCATTTATTAATTCACTTATTCCACCTTGAAAATCTTAAATTCTTGCAGAAACTTTTGTACAATGCCTAACTTTTGTTTTGGTTTGTTTCGTAGTTCGATGATCTTCCATGTTATTTTCGAAATAATAACATGGATGAAACTCCCTAAATAGGTACAGCTTTACTGCACGTTATACCTAACTATCTGTAATATTATATACAATACATATAGTTACGTCTTGTACGTATGTTTTTTTCATTTTCTGTTGCAATATGTATGTTGGTTGCTTATTTAACGTTCAATGTACTCAATTAGGCGGTTAAAAGACCAAAGTGGATCCTTTTTCATGAATGTACGTTAATTTATAGATTAGTTTAGCCGACAACAGTGTTGAATGACTTCAGAGTTGCAATTTTAGCGATTCATACGATAAAAGATCGATTCATCCCAAACACCCACTTTACCGGAAGGCGCTCTCTGACGTCCGCGCCATTTAGGTCACTTATAACATGGCATTATTTTTCACTTCCCTTTATTAGTACGTTTGAATGCAACCATCTTAGACATTGATGCAGCAATTTTGACCATGATCATGAAATGAAATGATCATGAACGAATAACAGATTGACATATTGATATGTGAAAATTTGGAAGGTGTATTTTCTGATACTGAGCGACATCTTTATAAAACACAGTTTTCAATCCGACTATAAGTAGACTATGAGTAATTCATAAAGATGTCGTTCGCTTCAACTACATCTCATAAACGTCGAACTAAATCACTAGGTTTCTATATACACATTGTATTATTCAAAACACGAGCTAACAAACAATACAATCGTTTGCATCAGAATATCAATGTATTTTTCCATTTAATATTGCACTGTTGTCTTTTGATTGCTTTTTATCGACTGACGGAGACAAAACTGAAGTTCGTCAAAATGCGAGTCAAAATCATCTATTGAGTACTTTGAATTTAAAAAATAAGCAATCAAATGACCATATTGCAACAATATTTGGAGAAATAGAAACCTATGTACAAGGCCTAACTTTAGTATTTCAGATAGTTACAGCAAACGTTTGGCATTCAGTAATTTATTGAGTTTCATCCATGTTAATTTTTCGTGTCGAAAATGTCATGGCAGAGAAGCATCGAAATATAAGAGGCCACACATATGATAGCTAACTACAAAACAAACCAAAATATACAAAAGTTAGGCCTCGTACAATTGTTTCTACTTTTACAAAATACTGTTCAATATCGTCCTTTGATTCCTTATTTTTTACATTCAAAATACTCAATCGGGCAAAAAAGTTTAAGTCCAAGAAAGTAACGGAAAAGGGCCAAAGTAACGCTTTTTGAAAATGCCTACCTAAATTTCACCAACGCTCGATGGAGGAAAACTAAGAGTACAAGAAAGTTACGGAAATCGGCCAAAGTAACGCTTTTTAAAAACACCAGGCTAAAATGTTCGACACTTGAAGGAATAAAGTTAAAAGTAACGTTTTACTGGCAAAGTACTGTGTTTTTAGAATGCCTACATAAAAAATCACCCAATATTCGAGGAGAAAAGTTAAATCCACGAAAGTAACGTTTTATCGGCAAAGTACTGTGTTTTGAAAATGCCTACCTAAAAAGCATCCATTCTTCGAGGAGAAAAGTTAAAATCCAATAAAGTAACGTTTTTAAGGCAAAGTACTGTGTTTTGAAAGTGCGTGCATAAAAATCATCCATTCTTCGTGGAGATCAGTTAAAGTACAATAAAGTCACGTTTTAAGGCAAAGTAACGTGTTTTGAAA